CTCTCCCCCCCAGCCAGATCCAGCTCATCTGCGGGGAGACAGGCACAGCATCAGCACGACGCCCCCCAGCCAGACCCCTGGCCCGTGGCAGCCCTAGGTCCTCGGGGACGCGGGCACCCACTTGGAGCTGCCAGCGGGTGCCCCGGGCCTGCGTGCCCACGGTGGGTGGGTGGGATCCGGCCGCTCGCCGGGGGGTCCGAGCACGGCACGGGGGGTCTGGGCACGGCACGGCGGCGGAGCGGAAGGAGCATTTCCCATCCCCGCACCCAAAGTCGCAGCAGCTTCAGGGCTTAATGGCTTTGATTATCTGATAAGCCTCTGGTTTAATGGGTTAGATAACATGTTAATACGCTATGAAGGCTGCTCTAAAATGTTTTAACTGTGCCTTTGTCTTTCGGAGCGCAGATAAGATGGCAGGTAACCAATACGCAGATGGATGTGCGCTGGCTGCCCCTCGGCCGCGCGGTGGGAAGGGGCCGGATGCTGCACCCCAAAAACCAAGATGCTCCTTGAAGACAGCAAGCAACCCACTAGGCCACCGGCGGGGCAGGGTGCCTAGGGCACCCGGCTGGGTCTGGGAGGGCTCCCAGCATCCTGGGGTGCTCCGGGGCAGTGGTAGCGTCCCCTTCCCGGGACCCTCCCATCGGAAAGAGCCCCCCTAAAGCCACGTGCCCGGAGCCCCGTCCTTCGAGGGCATTGTGGAAGATGCAGCCGGTGCCCGGGTCCTGTGGGTGGGGAGGAGGCTGCGCTCGTTTGAAGGCAAAATTGCTTTCAGAGCTGGAAGCGCGGGGAGGATAAAGCGATCCCATGGCTGCGGAGATTGAAATCTGATGTGTTTATTAGCCAGGCTGACATCTGGATCCTCTCGGCGCTGGGGTGAGTTAAGGTGAGCGACTGGAAGCGCTGGGTGGTGAGCGCGAGTTGGCGGCACCCGCCATCGCCTGGGTCCCACTGTCACCCGCGGGTCCCCTCCGTCCGCCGAGGAAGCCCTGTGCCTCCGGAGACACGGCTCCGAGCGCATCCCAGGCAGCAGCCGGTGCCCCTCGGCAAAACCCGCCGCCCACCGGGAGGTGGGCTGGAGAAAAGGTCTGCGAAGGTGTCGAAGGTCCCCGAGGTCTTTGGGGTCACCAGGCTGGTCCCTGTGCTTAGGCATGTGCCACCCTCCTCCCACGTGCCAGTGAACGGAGAGATGCGCTCTGCCCGAAGCTCCTTTGCCCTGCCAGGGTGCAGGCAGGGCTGCCTGCCTTCCCCTTCCCACGGCACCTCCTGCCCGCAGCGCCGCGGTGCCTTTGACCCGGGAGCCCTCAGCGCTGGCATGGAGCCGGCACGCTCAGAAAGCCGCCCTGGCCGCGGGTATCCCGGCTCCGTTTC